CTTCGTTATAGGAATAGCCAGCTGAAGTGCGTTTTTTAGTTGCACCAGCGAATCGTGGCCATAAATATGGTCTCATTGAATGAGGAATACCTAAACATATGGAAGTGGACGATACGCTGGAACTAGAACCTATAAACACGACACAGATCAGTAGTTCTGTAGTTTTAAGCTAATGACTAAAAAGAAATTTCAAATTCCTTCATTTCACTGCCTTTTGAGGTAGTGGCAGCATGATGCTATAACTATGAATCCAATAATGCTGAATGATATACAAAACATTGGATTTCGGATGAGAATTGAAATGGCATTCCAATCTTTTCAGGGGGAGGAGCGTCCTAAGCTATTGCATTAAGGGGGCTCGTCTTTTGACATTACTCTTTCTGGGATACAGATTATCTATCTATCAGCAATCAATCATGAACGGTTTGGCCCTTATTAGCTTTAGAGCACTTATTAGCTTCAAATCCAGTTACACTGACAAATAATATTGGGCCTCAAATAAGGTGAGATGCTGATTGGGATCCCGTCCGAGGTTCAGAGTATTGCTTGCATTATTAAAATATTAACAAGTAACTTTTTTCCTTCATTGTATCCGGTATGACTCGTAGTGGAAGATATATCTTTGATCCACATATTTCAATCACTAACCCTACAAGTTAGTGCACTAACTACGTTCGCATATTCTCACTAGGTGGAAGTACATCATTAGGAAAATTTGTAAGAATCATTTCTATTACTGCTTTTAGAAGGTTTTATGATGTTATGGATATACATTTAAGAATGTTGAGTGGCATGCAGAACATCTGAATTCAGACAGAAGTTAAAACCCGTGTTTCTCCATACCGGAGATTCGTGCTACCACAACACTATCGAGGCCACCGTTTTGCTACCACTCTTTCTTTATGACTATCGAAACCGTCAGCAACCAACCTTCAACGGGTTTAGTCTCGTAATCACATGTCGGCATATCATTTGGGCTGAAAGCTTTTCGTGTAGCACAATCTATACGGTTTCTTCGCCTTACTGTTTTTTAGTAGTGCTGCGATGATGAAACATGCGTCTAAGAACGTTGAGAGATATGCAAAACATCTGACCTCAAGCGAAAGTTGAACCCTCGTTACACTCAAACCAATGCCATAACAGTTTATAGCGATTTATGTGATTGAGATCGATCCACATCGGATGATTGAACACATACAGCTAACGAAAACGGAAAAATAAACTCTTGAGAAACTGGACTAACCACCGTCCTTGATAAGCTGTTGCACTCTATCAGTGTACAGTGCCTCAACATTTACTTTAGACCATACTAATTCTTCTTTTAAGCTGGAATGTGAGAATTCCAGGGCAGCCACAAAGCGCATTCTGGAAACCTTGAGAGATTTTTTTCAAATGGTAGAGAAATAATGTGAATTGAAACACTAGAAAAAAGAATAATTGCATTAGTCAATCTATAAAACTTGGCGTTGATCAATCCCTGAGGGATGCGCCATGCATCGATTGCATTCGTAGCATTATAGAGATGACTGAATGCTTATCTGGCCTTTACAATGACTTACGGTCAAATACCGATGTATCAAGTCACTTGTGCTATCCTCCCAAGCAGATCTGCTACCAAATCACCGTACCCGAAAGGGATGGAAGACTTGGTGAGCCTTGGACGCAGGATCGATTCATCGACCACGTATGTGCCGTAGAGCACCCCTAACCACTGCGCCAGACGCGCCACAACAAGAAATTTCGGTACGGAGAATGTCATGCAACATAATAAAAATCATCAATGGAACGACATCTAAAAAAAAGAGAGAATATGGTTCACTCAATACCGATGTGAAGTGTTTTCAATCCCAATCGTCTCCTCAGCTTGTCCCGATAGATCATCTCCTTTTCGAAATCCGAACTCATCGAAACTAAGTTGGACATAGCTTTATTTTTCAGGTCAGAAGTCGAATGCCCACAATAGATAGCTCGAAAACACATTACTATTCTTTCGGATCCTCTATATAAGATGGTATAAAAGTCGCTATTGATAGCACAAAATGGCGTATTATCGAGAGGGAAAGGCGAGGAGTGAACTGGCTGATCAACCTGGAAAAACTATACATACACTGAAGACAATCAAATTTTTAATTCAAAAATAAGCACTGAATAAATCATTACTTAAGAAAGCTCAGCTTGAATGAGATCGAACTCGTAAAAGAAACCCGAACAAGATGTAATTTTATATAGAACTCATGTCATCAAGCTCTACAACATCAGAAAATTACTTGATTATTTTTGACGAAACCTTTAACAAATAGAACTTAATCTATTCCGAGTCGAGTTTACTGGTCAGCAATTCATTGTCAGAAGCCAGAAGAAAATTCAGATTGAAATTTTGGTCCAAATTATGAAGGGAACTCGCTACAAACTTGCTCAACCCACTATAAAGCACATTAACCCTTTGAGGACCAATGTCTACAGGCAGGCGGTTTCACGTCCTCACTTGCGTGACAGTCAGACAAGCGGCCAAACAAGCGACTTTGCATGCCTGTAAATGCGTGTCTGGATGTCTGCCTGCTTTCCCGCGAGGCGCGACACCGCCCTCACAGTAGCTGAGCAGTATGCATCGATATGATTCTCATGGTCCTCAAAGGGTTAATTTACTGAGGACAATGATTTTAAGAGTATTCGAGTGATATGCAAAATATTCGACCCCACGCGGGCATTGCTCATCCATACCGGGACGCGTGCTGCCACTAGTTAACGAAGGCCACCACTTCGCTACCACAAATCGTCAAACGTTGGTTGCTGACAGTTACGGTAGCATCCATCGGAAAATGAGTAATATCGAAGCGGTGCCCTCGGTAGTGCAGTGATAGCACGCGTGCCTGGCATGAGTAGAACATGGGTTCGACTTCCTTTGGGGTCTAGGTTTTTGCATACTACTCTGCATGATCGGACATCTATACTCATTGTAAAACGGAAACAGAATTGAGGTAAGATTCTTACGGAAATCATGCAATTCCTTTCGTAGAAAAAAACGAAAAACAATTCGATAAGAGGAAAAAGAAAGAATAGAACATTATGCACCTCTTTAGTAGTTTCGTACACTCTTCTCGCACACGTCGTCGGTATACCACTATCACCGCCATCATCATCGTCATCGTCATCATCAACGACGGTCTCAGCAAATTTAGCATTTTTTCCTATACTTGTTCCTATCATAGAAATAGAAATATATACGAGAAATGCAATCTAACCTTGCCTATATCTCGCCATATGATAGTTGATTCCTATTTTATGAAATGTGCTAAAATTACACGTATTTACAAATGACGATAACAAATTTCTATGAGTAATAGGAGCAATGTGTAATGGCCATTGGCCGTATCATAGTCGGGATGGTTACAAGTAAATTTAAGTGACGTCATACAAGTAAATCTAAGTGACGTCACCATGGGGAAAAGCTTCGGCATGCTTCCATATACGCGACGCGAATACGCACGCATCCAGACACGTCGATAAGCAGAAGCCTAGCCGGAGGCGATCCATTAAACACATTGAAACACAAATCGTACGTCGCCACCGATCAATTAGCTCAGACTAATTTGTTACAAAATGCCGAAGCGACATCACTTAATTCAGCGATTTTGTGTCCTTGAGTTACTTGATCCTTCTGAAGAATCAAGGATAAAGCTCTCGGCATCGATCAATCCCTGAGTGATCGCGCCATACTTTCGACCTCATCAAGCATCATTTGAGATGATCAAACGTATATCTAGCTCTTACAATGACTTGTAGTGATCTATCGATGTATCTTAGTCAGTGCTGCTATCTTCCGAGACAAGTCTAATAGCAATTCGTTGTCATCGAAGGGATCGAAGGCGTAATGAACAGAGAACCTGGATCGATTCAACCACTATCTGTGTAGTTCAGAGTATCGCTGATTTGTTTTTAACAAAGTAAAATTGCAGCTGTAAGTAGAGTAAAATAATGAGCGGATCAATTCTTGAGCGGCTCTGTGACTAATCGGTCACATATTTCTCTAGATGATCAGAGCTTACTAACGAGAAAAAATCTTCATAACAATAATGGCTAGAGTTTCATTAGTTATGCCTTTTTCAACACCTGGTAAGGTGAAGTTGGCGCGTAGGTCACCCAGCAAAACATCTTCAGAACCTCAGCAGCGAAGAGCTTGATGCACAAATCTTACAAAAGACAGAAAAGGTATCAAAAAAGTCACATATCAAGCTTTTTCATCTGAGGTGATGAAATTAATCGACTAGGTACGAGATGTGTCAATCAGATCTTTCCAGAATCAATGAGCAGTTCTGTGTTGCGTAAATATTGCTGTTGAGAGCTTCGTATCTGCTCATCAAGTAAACGGAATCATGGATCAATGCCAATGCACATAAAAACTCTGCCATGGAAGTTTATCGGTCACACTTACCTTCAAAAGAGCCACCGAAATACTCATCTGTATTCTAACAAATGTTCTTTACACATATCAGTGGTCTGTTCAATGAGCTGGCTTATAGAGCCTTATACACTCTTTCGATCTTGCAATCTCGTCAGTCCGGCATTTACCCTTTCGTCTTTTATGGCAATACTGCGTGGGTGTTCCAGTCCCCACACTAAAAATTAGCGACGACGAACATTTAACACTCTATGTTCAGTGAAATTATCACCGAACACAGAGTGATGTACACTCGATTGCTCTTGGCTAGTACATTTGATATGCTATGCTAGTATATATGTATGCTAGTATATCTGTCGTTTCGAGTGTTTTCTTAAGACCACAGCCACGTGTATCGGGCTCTATAAGTCAGCCCATTTAACAGACCAGTGACATGCCTGGCTCAAAAATAATTATCAGGCATGATAAAATTTGAGTTGTGGTCTTAAAAAAACACTCGAAACGAAAGTTCTTCACACATTTGTGCAATTTTCTTCCAAGTTCCGTTTGAAAATTATCTATCAGATAAAAACCATCCCTTTACCCAGTAGAGTAGAACGTTTGCGTCAGGTGGGATTCGAACCCACATTTCACTCTATCCGGGAGCGCCTGCTCAAGCGTTGAACTACCAACGCCCATTTCTGACACCACTCTTTCTACGCTACAACACATCTATCTGTCAACTGCAACGGTTGAGCACGCGCTCCCTGATCAGGTGGAATATGGGTTTAGATCCCATCCAACTCAAAAGTTTTTTGCATATCACTCTACGTCACTGGGTATATTGTAATATCATACCAGCGCTAAAGGCTGTCAAATAAAAAGAATTCTGTTTAATCATCGTTCGTATTCCCTTATATCTTTTGAATCAGTCAGAACGGCAGCCAATTACTGCTAGCGTGCGCTCAGATGTCGTATTATTTGAGCGCGATTGCAGTGCGCAAACAAGCGCTTGATGTCAACAATTGAATTAGTTCAATTTGAACAAGCAATTCCCTTCAGCTGTCATATACTCTAGTTCCATACAATACTCAAAAGTCTCCATATCGTATAAAAAACAAAAACCGACGAAATTTTTGTCAAAAATAACTGACTACACCTTTCGCCGCTCACCCTATTCAAAAGTGATACTCTCTCCCTCCAAAGATACTTCCGGTGACACAGTTCGCTGAGAAGGCCGTTTCATGGGCAAGCTTCAATATAACATTAGTAATCTACGAGCTATCAAATAACTATAAAAAATTCTAGCGAAGAAGCTGTTCCCGATGAGATAGCCTAGCCCACTGAGTAGCAGTTTTCCCCAAAATGTTAAACATTGAGAATAGAAGATAGAAGCAGAAGAGTTAGAAAATCCGGTTTTTTTTTTTTTTTATTAGGAGGGAACAAATGAAAAACCCATCTCATTCGCTGGAGAGCAACTTTTCATAGGAGTGTCAGCGTGCATTCGGAAGCTAAGACTTGAGGCTACACTACAACCCCACGTCGGATTTCAAATGACCCCTTCATAACAAATCAAAAATGTCTCACAATCCCTTTTCGCCTTCATTTTTATCACGCGTATAATTTGCTGGAAGCCGAAAAGCATATCAACGTGTAGAGAAACTTTCGTAGCATCTTAGCCAATCATTTTATCTTAAGTTCTCCTAAAGCGGAAGAAAAATTCCCACTTGAATAACAATATATCCCGCCTCGCCCCGCCTTCCGTCACGGCCATCGCCTTGTCGAATAGCCGGTAAACAACGTCTCCAAAAATGTAAAACACGATCTTATTTTTCCTTCTCATCCGTATTTTCACAAAATAAGCGCACCAGAATAAGGAAACATTACGCTACCGGATGATTACTGGGGTACAGAGACGCAGAGGCCGTGGGTCCACGGTCGCGCGAGGGTGAATGCTGATTTGTGTTTATCAGACCAAATCCGTTGACGATTGGATGCTACGATAGTTTAATTTAAGAAAATGTGATAGCAGAGCGATGGCATCGGTGGTGTAGCGGCAGCATTCGGCCCCAATATATGTGAAATACGCATCCAACTCCCGACTGAGGTCGAATGTTTTTTAACGTCATACCACTGTTAAAAAGCAGTACAAATGAGTAATTTTTGATATGAGCGTCGAAAATTATCGGAATAGATCTTTATCTATACTATTACTATTACTGAGTCAAGTATTTATGAATCACGACACGAATGTGCTATGGTCTTATTCTAGTGAACAACATTGTCTATCGATTTAGAAGCCGCATAATAGAAGAAAATCACTGTGCAAATATGTCAGTACAATCCGTGTATACGTGTTGAGTCTAGTTAATCTAATCAACTATATTAGATTAGGTCACTGAGCAGAAAATGTCCAAATTCAGACGGAAAGGTTAAAATAGTGAAACTTTGAAGAGTCTAAACAATCTAAGTAATAACCCACTACGGCCTGAATATTAGCATTCTCACAAGAATATTACAAACTTTAAATATTCTTTCTTGATAGGAATCTGGATTTGTGGATTCAAAAACGTCCGCAAAGGCCTTTTTGACTGCACCTTGGTAACGAATTCCTTCTCATGAATTGCTCAGATGTGAACAATTCTGAAAATCCTATTAGAGATCGGTTCGCCGAGGTAGATAAGAAGAGTTCGTAATACAATTATCCGGTATCTAATCCATCAAATGTAAAAGTGAGTGCTATTTTTGTGTAAAATTCATTCCAAGCATGAAACATCCCCATGACCTTTTTTCACAGTAACTTCAGCTATCGCAAGTCTAATGCTCCCCTTTTCTGGTAACTGCTGGAAGCAATCCACTTATCCCACGAGACTCTTTTTTGCCTCATGTAAGATGGAATCTAACCGGCTCTAGAAATAATAGAAAGCTGTTCCCGCTCAAGAACACACAGTCTGGTGGCGACGCTGCCATCGTCATTTATTCAGTCCATATGAACCTCTTATTTGAGAATTCTTCAATTTGTAAGTGCGACTAAGGCGTCCCGAAACTCGTCTTCAAGCTACACTAATTTTCTAAAATCTCTCCAACTTTTGAAAAAACTGCGCTTTGAGATTTCTTGTAAAACACTTATGCACAGAAAATACGATTGAGTAAAAATGGTTACAAGTTCCATACTATGAGAAAACGGACATTTTCAATGAAGAGTCTATTCGTATGAATCTACCACAACTGTTCATGTATCGTAGAAAGGCCATAACGTAGATGATTCGGCGAGCTTTTAGGATTCTCTTTACAAAAAAAAAAAATACACTGCGTCAGGACTGGTATGACTAATGACCAGATCGCTATAATTCAGTTCAAGTGACACTGATTAGCAATAACAAATAAGTAGGCGACACAGATGCATGAAAACAACTATCTGTGACTATCGGAGGCTTTATGCATTAATATTAGAATAAAGTTTAACCTGTCTTCCGACTACATCTCAATCACGATTAATCAGCTAACAAAACAGCAAGTACGCATGTTTGCAAAATCATTTGCAGATAGGCGAGAATCCTCAAATGGCGGGTTTCAAGGTGATATCAATGATTTCGCAAGCGCCAAACATTTTGATTGGTGGACCAAAGTAGTTGACACCAGCCGACACATATACATAAGTTCCAGTGGCTGCATAATAGTAAAGACCCCTAAACGATACATTTATTTTGTCTGAGAACAAACTGGGAACAAACTCCCATGATTAATCGACGAACCTTGCAAACGCGTTCACCATGTAGATGATGGGAACGAATAAATACATTTGCCCCCCATGGGTATGTCCTAAAAGTCTCTATGAGAAGTGAAAGAAAATTTTCATTGGAGTCATCAGAAGATAATGAGTGCTTCCTTCATGACAACCTTATCTTCAAGCTAAATATGAGGTCTGCAGTAGAGATCAATATAGTTCTTGAGTACACCGTAATGAGAGGACCTCCTGAAAAACAAAGCAAACCTGATAGTATTATGTCTAGTTTTTTATTAACTCCCGCATCCTTCAACATTATGCCTGCGGCATTCGGCTGATGAGCAAGCATAATGATGACGTCGTCAACCTTACATCCGTCAACAGCTTTCTTCACATCCATAGCGTGTCCGGGAAAACTGCAAAACGAGCATACAGCTATGATAAAAACTCGCTACTCAAAGATCAGAAAAGCGAAATTCACTCAAAGTCAACTGATGTATGAAATTGGAAAAGGCTACTTGAGAAACAAGCAAATTACACCTAAGTCAAATTCCCTCCTATGATTTGATACTCAATAATATAAAGGATGAAACTCTGTAGCCGACGAAACACACTACGATGTTAGACCTTATTTGAATTTTGAGAAGAACTTATAATTTCTCAAGATAGTGTGTTGCCAACAACAGCACAATTTAATATATAAAGCTTGGCAAATAAAACGGCTACCAAGAGCATTACAACGATGATGCAGAAGAAGAGGATCAAACAATTCCAAATTAGAGTGTTCATTGCAATATGCTTCCCCAGATTAAAAAGAGATTGATTTAATTTGACTGAATATTTTGAGTATATCATTGGTCTAGTGTGGCATCTCTAGTGCTGGACGTACATTTCGGTGTATTCTCGCACACCTCATCACTAGCACATGCCTTTTGATTGACCCCTACAACTAAGGATAGCGGCTCCGAAGATGTATCACTGCATGTCAAGTGAAAATATCACTTGACATTGCGGTGATTTACAGTCAGTTGTTCGTGGCTGGTGAAATGCAATGTCAAGAGATCTTTTGAATTGACGTGCACTGACACATCATGCGCCGCTATCCTTAGTTGTAAGGGTGAACCAAAAGGCATGTGGTAATGATGAGGTGTGCGAGAATACACCGAAACGCACGTCTAGCGCTAAAAATGCTATGCCAGACCAATTTGAGGATCAAAATATTCTATTAGATCACTTAGATTTTAAGCGAGATCTCGAAAACAGTCGACTAGAAAGGGATTGATATAATTTGATTTACAGAACGCATAACATAAACTTGAAGGAGGAGGTAGGCGAGTGACTAGTGATGTAGGATATTAAGAAACAAGGTCGTTCGACCTCCTCTCTCAACACTTACACAAAATCAATCAACCAACATCTTACAGAATCCTCTGTTCGCATAGGTCCAAGACTACCGGGAAAATCGTCCCCAACAAGCTTGTACGAAATTTATAAAAAAAGAAACTCTCAAGCAGCAGCCGATGCAAGAAATGAAATGTTCGAAGCCTTTGTTGATGAGTGCGGGGGTGTGATTTCATTATAAAAAGTAATAGAATCTGTATGATAAGTTGTGATGACGGGTTATGTTTGAATTAGATGGCCCAAATCACAGCTTTTCATTATTTGGGTTCCAGTACTTCTAGTATTCAAACCCTCTCTTTGCGTTCATCGCTTCATTGAGGAATTGTCTTCTTTATGAACATCATATATTACTTATTGAGTACAACCTGCAGTCTTGGGGATAGCCAAGCTGAGGCGATCATTAGTGATTGTCAGCGAGTGCTGAGGAGACAAAGGGATCAACCCCGTACATCATCACTAGCCATAAGAATCAGCATCACTAGCCTCGGCCACCCGCCTCCTACCCCCGTGTTAATAGGTAATGAGAAAAATTGGTCATTCCATAAGTTTTGGCACTAGAGCAATAAA